TTACAGTAATCGAGAGTGATTTACAGTAATCGAGAGTGATTTACAGTAATCGAGTGATTTACAGCAATCGAATGATTTATTAATAATTGAGCGAAAAAAAAAAAACTTACATAGATCGATAAATCCTTAAAAAACTATTCGAATATAAATTTTAAGGATTTAAAAAAAAATCATTGATAATTTTTTATTGATAATCTTTTAATGATAATTTCTTTAATGATTAATGATAAATTCTTTAATAATAATGATAAAATCATGTGGTTATAATACAGGAATATGCAATACATAACGCATCTATTCATTGAAATCGTGATTATCATAATCACGTAATATAGATATATTAATTACGTATCGTTATTACGTATAATTATTGTTATCGTTAATTACGTATTGGCGTCATAATTATAATCGACTCTAACCAATTCTATTATAGAACTATTATAGAACTATTATAGAATTATTATAGAGCTAATTATAACCAATCATAACTAATAATAACATGCTAATCATACTAATCGTTAACTAATTATAAACTAATTATAAACTAATTGTAATTAATTGTAACTAATCACAACTAATTATAACTCATCACAACTAATCACAACTAATTATAACCAATTATAACTAAAAAAGTTCATTTTGTTTGCTTCTTATTTCCTTAAAATATTATAATCCGACGAAAGCATTAAGATTTAAAATCATCCAATATCCGATACGTGTACAGTATTCATGTATTTATTTGTGTGTGTATCGGTGTATGTATGTATAGACGTTCCAGACGTTCCAAAAAATACAGTAACCAAAAGCACAATCATGCCACTCAAACACAATGAACGTATGTATATTATGCACATTGCTATTCTTTGACCTACCATGTAACCCTAAAAAAGATTGATTTGCTTACTATTTAATCTAGGTCGAGACTTTTTGATTGTCATAAATATTGTCGTAAAAAAATGTATTTTTAATTTTACAAAAAAAAAAAAAAAAAAAAGGTTTTTTTTTTTTTTTCTTTTTTGTATATAGTTGTAAATGAACTGCGAAAAAAACAGTGAATAGAATATCAGATTATAGTATTTGTTTTTTACCACATATTATTTAAACATTACTGTATTGTTATGTTTCAATGTTACTTCTTATTCCAAATCAATATTAATTATAATCTTTTAAATCCATATTAATTCTAGTCTTCTAAATCTATATCTTCTAATCAAAATTATTAATATTATAATGATATTATAATGATATTATAATGATATTATAATAAATTAATATTTATAATATAATTATATAATTATAAATTAATATTTATAATATAATTATATAATTATAATATCAATATTATGGTCAATATATTTCAATATTATTTCTAATTTAGTATCAAAGATCGATGAGTTGAAGTATCAAAGATCGATGAGTTGAAGTTATCAAAGATCGATTAGATGAAAAATGAATTCTTTGACAGCTAATCTAAGCATACTAAATATTTCCATAAGTAGAGACTTAGATATAACGATACATAAGGTTTCAAAAAGAATGAAAACAAGAAAGGTAATTAATAAGAATGATGCATGTGAATATTGTATGTAGCATTTATGAAACTAATGGGGTTCAATGATAAACCCTGCTTTGATCAACAAAATTTTGACATTATTTTATTTCTATATATAAAAAAAAAGGTATTTACATAATGATAACTATAATAATTTTATTGGAACGGAAGATACAGAAAAGGATAAAAGGCTAATAAATTAAAAATTTGAAATAAATGAGAATGTAATCATAATTAAAAATGATAACAAGACATTTTTCGTTAATGATTTGAAGAACCATGTAACAAAATAAAAAAATTCATTATGATTAATAAGTTAATATGATAAATAAGTTAATAAGATAAATAACGGAATAAAGATTCCTTCCGTTTGTAATGAATGAAATGAAATGTAATGTAATGAATACAAAAAAGTTGATAGGTTAAGGAAACATTTTTTTATTTACTTGAAGTGATAACATCGAATATAATCAAATATAATCAAATATAATCAGATAACAAATGTGCATAATTCACGCGTGGTAAAGAAAGTTAAAATTTTACCCCACGTTTATGGTTATGACATTTATGATCATTTATATACATTTATGATCATTTAGAACCAGGAATGGATGAAATAAGCCTAGTTTAGAACAACTAATATTATTTCAAATTGATTATGTTCTTTTGAGATAATAAGATCTTATATATTTTGTTCGCAAGATGTCGCAAGATGTATGCGTTGCAAATATGCATGTTAACGTGCATAGCAATATACAGCACGTACGTACGTAGGTAAGTAGGTAGATAACAATAAGTAACAGGTAAGTAGGTACTCACGTACAGTACATACGTACGGTACGTACAATACATACGTACGGTACGTACAATACATACGTGTGTACGGTACTGTAAGTACGTCCGTACGTATCAGTATGTACGTACGTACGTAATATTACAACGGTTATTCACGACTGTGTTTGTGAGATTGTGATGTATGATATGCTATTCCTTTTTTATTCAATTATTTATTCAATTATTTATTGAGTTATTTGATCATGTACACTATGCACAAAAGCTAAACTAAAACATCACACTATTTCTCACACACTCACACACTCACACTTGGGGAACACACACATAGGAAACAAAGCACTATACATAATCGGTTCCGTTCCGTGACAAACAGTGAAAACATAAAACAATTTCACAAGATTTTACAAATTAAACTGTTTTTTACTGTTTGTCATTATAAGTAAGTTCGAGGCTTTTATGGTTATTATTAAAATGGTCGAAATCCCTACACAATCAATAATGTCTACGTAATAATATGTGATATATATGTAGATGTATTATGTGTATATATCGATATGTATATATGTATATTTCTTTTTATATATTTTTATATATTTTTATATATTTTTACATTTTTATATATTTTATATATTTTTATATATTTTATATATATTTTTATATTCTTTTATATATTTTTATCTTTTAATTCCTTTTTATTTCTTTTTATTTCTTTTTATATTATTTGCATGTAAATTTTATACATACTTTTATTAAATTTACATTTACGTATTATCTTATTACCACACCATTGGTTTTATTGGTTTTATTGGTTTTATCATCCAGGGTACTATCCAAAGGAGCAACATCCAGAGTATTCAATTCATTATTTTTTTTCTAAAATATTAGAATGAACTTTCATACAGTACAGTACTGTATGTAGTATCATTTCCGAGTATGCATGCACATATATAAAATTGGCCTTGTGATTAATCTTTGAATAATTATAATGAATAATTATAACGATAATGAATAATTATAATGAAATAATTATAACGAATAATTATAACGAATAATTATAATGAATAATTATAACGAATAATTATATGTAACAATTATAATAATTATGAATAAAATTATGAATAAATTTATGAATAAATTTATGAATAAAATTATGAATAATCTAATGAAATGTTATTTATCATTCTTTTACTACCAATTCCTTGGCTTTCCGTTCTTTGATTCACCTTTTCAATCAATCCGGCGCAGGAAAATTATAATTATAAGCGTAAGGGGTCAATTAATTGTTATATCATCAGCGTGTGATAAGATCATCTCCATTCAATCGACCTTTTTTTTTCAATCTTTCATTTGACTTGACTTTTTTCAAAGTTTCAAATGAGGCAGTAGGCTGTGCTTTAATACTATGTGCAACATTTTCATCAATGATATATTTTACGAGTTTTTTTTTCATCCGATCAGATGCTTTTTATTATTTAAATTTATGTACGTACGTACGTACGTGCATACTTACATGTATATATAATATATATAAATATGTATGTATGTATATATATACACTTTATCACGCAATTATCTCTTTCTAATTGTCACATACTAGCTGTAATTGAAGTTGTGAAAAAAATGTGACTTGTGAGAAAATGTGATCTGTTTACAGTTACAAAATCCGATTGGAGGCTTACCCTCTGTAACATATTAAAACCGTATACATTATATATCATATACATCATATATATCATATACATCATGTACGTACGTATATATTCTTTATTCTATATTCTATATTCTATTCGTATATAGTGTATATATATATTATATATATATTATATTATATAATATATATAATAGTAGATAATAGATATAAAAAAATGAATCAGCTTTCTGTCTCGGAAATTTATTACCTCTAAAAAAAATTATATTAAGCTTCAATTTTCTCCATCTTTTGATTTTTTTCCTCTCCCTTTTTAAACAAAAAAAAAACGGTCATTTTTTTTTTACTTTTATAATAGAAAGAAAGATAGATAAAAGATTTAATAAAGTTTTTATATCGTCCGGTTTTTTTTTTCTCTTTTGTATAGTTTTGTTTTATAAAGTACTTTTTTTAATATTCTTTAATATCAAATTTAAACTGTTCATTATACCTTTATATTTTTATCCGATTTTTTCTATTCTCATCATCCTGGCATCTTTTCTTTGTAATTATAATTCTTGACTTTTCGTCTCTTTCGTCTTTTACGTTGGTCTTGATTTTTTCGCGTTTTTTCATTTTACATATGCACTCATAAAAATTTTATTTTCAAAAGATTATTTGCAAAGTTATTTTATTATTATTATTATTATTGTTATTATTATTATTATTACTGTATATTCATTAATGTTCTGATATAATTCCGATATAATTCATACGTACATATCTACATTTATTTACTTTATTTACGTGAAATTTTTTTTACAAGTTTATGCAACTTCTCCGCCGGACGGCAAAAAAAAACGAATCGAATTTACTAAAACATCAATCACCCACCACCCATTTATCTAAATTTCTCGATTTGTGATACCCTATCAATACATATATCTTCAACTTTTTTTTTTTAATTTCAACTTTGAATATCTATTTCGAAATTTTTTTCGAAATTTTTTTCTTTTCACTTTAAATATGTCTTTACCCATTAATTGTTTTTGGTCTCTTTTATCATTAAGAGACCTAAGTTTCGTTTATATTTCTCCTTGGTTATCTAAAGCTCTTGGTCCTAACCATGACTCTTTATTGGGTACTTCGGTTTTTGACTACTTTCATCCTCAAGATCGTGAGTTGGCGCGTCGCGACTTGTCAGAGTTTGTCAAAATGAAAACAATAACCTGTTCGATAACAAGGTACTACTTATTACTATTTTACTAAATTACTAAATCATTATTCTTATTATCCTTATCATTACGTTATTACTATCATTATACTATTATTACATTATTACTATTATCTATTTATTATCATTATTATTGTATTACTATTTTACTATTATATTATTAATATTACAATTATCCCTTTTTTAAACTTGTTACGCGTTCTGATAACATCAAACGCGTGTTTTTCCTTTTCTTTGACGTTTTCATTTCATGCAAAGAATATTTTTATTCCTTAAAGACAAATTTTATCTCCTACTCAAAAAAATTATATATGATTGACACGTGACCTCTTTTGACCTCTTTTAAACAGATGTCGATATAATAATGTTTCAGCAATAAGAAAGAGATTACAATCTCAAATTCCTTCAAATAAAGGTTTTCCTCCTTCAAAATTATCGACTCCCTATCAAGATGATGATGATGATGATTATATAATAATGCATCTAGGAATGAATGTAGTTAGTCATGATATCGTTCTTGCTTGTTTTCATCCTGATGATGGTAATTACAAAAAAATTAGTTTATTTATTTATTATTTATTTATTTATTTTTTTTAAAATTTTAAATATATTAATATTAATATTAATATTAATATTATATTTGCTTTTTATTTAAATTAAATTAAAATATAGCAAAGCCAAGTAATTGCTCTCAGAATTCTTGTGGTGAAACTGAATTTACAAATGATGTACGTTTCGTATTCTCAAATAATTACATAATAATTTTATAATTACATAATAATTTTTATAATTACATAATAATTTTTATAATTACATAATAATTTTTATATTTATATAATATTTTATATTTAATTTTAATAATGTTTTCTTAATAGGAATGGAATAAATTGTCTTCACTTTTACGTAAACATTCATCCTTTGGTTTTTCCAAAGTTCAAACTCCACCCGCAACTCCATTTCCAGAAAACAAATCATTACCTAGTGGTAATAATCTTTCGCCAAATCGTATTTTTCAAATATTAGATAGGAATTCCAGGAATTTAATTTTCACTTGGCCTGATCCAAGTTTTGTTCCTGGTACTGATATCCCTTATGATAAGGATGAATTCTCTAGATTATTACAAAATTATTCTATAAATCATTGTAATTTTATAAGTGGGAAAGATAGGGTTGATACTCAATCCCCTAGTTGTATGAGACCAATTTCTAACAAACATACTATGATTTCAACTTGTGGAAAATCCCAACAAGTCGAAAGCGTTATGATTCCTTATGGGATCATTATTTTCGCTTGTTTTCAAATTTTACCTTTGACTTCTTCCGTTTCATTCGCTTCTCCTCCTTACAAGCCTCAAAAATCTTTGTCTGCTCCTTGTTCTCCTCCTACCACGAATGGTACGACTAAAAGGCCAAGATCTCCTAATTCTTCTCCTGGTTCTTTATCTCCAACTTATTACTCCGATTCGGGTAGTAATGGTGCTTGCGGTTATAATTCTGGTCATCCTTATCATCGTCAAGAATTATCGGAATTTATTGATCCACGAAGATCTTCAAAACGAATTCGTCCAAATGATATCTCTCCTATACCTCATCACCTACCGAATCCGGTTTCTCCTCATGATTCACCTGTTTATCAAGACCAATATCCATTCCCTTCAATGTCACAATCTCACAACGATCAAAAATTACCAACTATATCACATCAACAAATGTATTTTGCTCAACAACAACAACAACCTCATCAATATCCATCAAACCCACAACCTCCACATTCACAACAACCTCCACATTCACAACAACCATCACATTCACAACATCCTCCGCATTCACAACATCCTCCGCATTCACAACATCCTCCACACTCACAACATCCTCCGCATTCACAACATTCACAACATTCACAACATTCACAACATGTTGTAAATTCATATCCTTCTCCTACTTTCTTACCACAACATGATAATAACGTTATTCATCAACGTCCTAATCCACCTCCACCTTCTTCACAACCTCAACCTGGTCCCAATCAGGGTACAGGTTTCTCCCAATTTCCTCCATCACAACGTAGAACTACTCCTGCCATTAATGGTACTAAAAAATGTGAAAGTTGTCATACAAGTTCTAGTCCAGAATGGAGACGCGGTCCAACGGGTCATAAAACGTATGTCCTTCATTCATTTTAATTTATTCATTTTAATTCATTCATTTCAATTCATTCATTTTAATTTATTCATTTGAATTCATTCATTTGGATTTATTCATTTGGATTTATTCATTTGAATTCATTCATTTCATTCATTTGAATTCATTCATTTTTAATTTTATTTATTCTAACACACTCTAACACTAACATATTTTAATACTATCGTTTTTATTAGTCTTTGTAATGCATGTGGGTTAAGATATTCTCGTACGATAGCTCGCGAGATTCGAAAACGTGAGCAAGCTCAACGTGAACAGGAGCAACGGATTCGAGAACAACGTGAAGGCGAAGAACGTGCCCGTGAAAGAGCTGCTGCTATCATGATGCAACATGTTATTGAACCTCCTTATAATCAATATAGGCCAAACACAAATATAACAGGTGTGGTACCACCATATCAACTTCCACATCATAATTATCATCATCATCAATCGTCTTCAACTTATCACCCAACATTACCACCATTAAGTAATCAACCACAAAGTCACCCTTCACTAGGGTTACGACCCAAACCTTTTTTTTGAATTATGATATGATTTGATTAGGTTTGGAATTTGGGTTTTCTTCTTCATTTGGTTGGGATTATAAAAATATGCCCATTCTTAGTCCATAATATTCAATGCTATAAAGTATTAAAATTAATTTTCAAATTTAAGAAACCTAAGAAGGATTTAGCAACTAAGCAGGATATATTGAATCAAATCAATGTGATAGGTTATAATAGATCTAGTGGTTATGTTGAATATGTGCACACTAAGTGAAAAATAATTAACAATGAAAGTCTTCTTTTTTCTTTTTTTCTTTTTTTTTAAAAAAAAAAACAATTGTAAATAATAAACTTTCAAATTTCCTTAGACATCCAAATAATCAAATAATAATTCAAATAATAATTCTTAGAGAATAGTTTTTAGAAAAAAAAAAACTCTTGCGTTAGTAAAAAAAAAAATCGATTTCAACATTATTTGTAATTGCAAAATTTTTAATTGGTTAATGAATTTAATTACCCGAGTCATAGTGTATAAAGGCAGTCAATCCCATTAAAAGAATTTTCATGAGATAATACTTCAATTCAGTTCAATTCAGTTCAATTCAATTCAATTCAATTCAATACAAATCAATGTTTTTATTGACAAGTGCTTTTCTAATAAAGACGTCGAAAATAATACTTTCAAAGCCCTTACAAGAAAAACGCATCAGCACTCTAATCAAATGGGGCCTAATTAGTTACGTAGAATTAGTTAGGCACAAATAAGGATCAAATTACCTATACTTATCCGTAATCTGTAATCATTGTATATATTTACGTTATATACTGTAGTATTGTATATATTGTAGTAAGCCTAATTCCAAAAACTCGGACCAAATTCATACGCGTCTTAACCAAAAAAAGTTGGGATTCTATCTGATTCCAGACTAACAAGTTTGGATCGCAACTCTATTTTCTACTCATGAGTTTTGCTAATTTACCTCCATGATTTCCTTACTGATTGGCAAAATTGATCTCGCTACTGATGGGTTGATAGAAATGATCGGTGGATCACTTTATCATCTTTGCGTCCGTACGTACGTACGTACGTACGTATTTAACGTACGCACGTACATATGTATGTACGCTTCCACGGAAGTCTCATGATTGATCAAATCTATGTCAATAAAGATTTAGCTCTTCTTTTCAATATATCTTTAAAAAAAAAATTTTTTTTTAATAAGAGTGCATAATTAATCATAGGAGTGCATGATCAATAATAAGAAATTTTTCTTTTTTTTTACAATTGTATTACTTTTTTTCATATACTTTTTTTTTTTTCGTTTCAAATTCTTAATAAGGTAACGCTTTTCATACTGGTTTTTTTTTTTTTTTTATTGACTATCTTGCAGAATCATTTTTTTTTGAGCCTTTACAAGTTTTTTTGTTTCTATTTTTACCATAATTTAATAATTTAATAAATCACACTATGAGCTCTTTAATGAATTCCCTAAAGAGCCGATAAAAAAAAGTTTGTGTAAATTGTTGCTCGTGCTCTTAAAAGATCATCACATTTTTCTATACCTGAACTAATACATATAAAATTTAAACTTTCTTCATTTATCCAGGATTCGTTCTTTATGGAAATTATAAAGAGATTCTTTAAAGGGTCGACCGCATTTTAATAATTATTATTCACGTGACTCCAGACAATTTATTCTTACTTTTGACCGTTATTGTTATAGCTAATTCAATGTTTTTTTTTTTTTTTTTTAACAAATGGAAAGAAGTACGATAGATCATGAAGATGAATCATATTTTAAGTGTAAATTGCGTTTTATAATCTATATATATTAGTCCTTGGCACTTAAAACTAAACTATTAACGTTAAATACGTACATCGAATTTGATATTCGTTATTTAATGATTACCTATACAGGATAATTAATATATACCTAGGATCCGAACGATCGTCGAGATGAAGATGGATAAAAAATATAAGCATGAGATTGATGCAGGAGAAGAAATAAGAAAAAAACTGTTAGAGAATGCTTTTCTTGGAATACGTAGAAAACTGTATAGGAAAACATGTTGCAAGCATCACAATTCATAAATTCATAAATTCATATAGAGGACCGGTGTGCACGTGATACGGTTAGCATTGTCCTTATTGTTATCAAAATTGCAAATTTTGTTATAAAGATTAATAAACTTCTCAACGATAAAAAATCTTCACCATATCAACATTTACCACCGTTTACATGTCAACTAAAAACTGCAGGATCAGATTCCTTTTTTAAAAAAAATAATAACAATGCCAAATGTGGAAAATTTAAAATGACTAAGGATGAAATCAATAATTTCCCGCATCATCACGTGGAACAGATTAAACAAATTAAGGTTAGTTTGTTGATAATGGTCATCAATGGCAACAATATGCTACAAACATATATTATTTCTCGAAAGCTCAAGAAATAAAAGACAATGCTAATGGCGAATTCCTCCCCTTTCTGGAATAGTGCAGCAGAAAATAAACAAAATGTATCGGTATATCAGTGTTATTATTGATTTATTTAACAAATACGTATAGAATCTAACATGTATGTACGTATTTACGTACCCGATCTTGGAAAATTGTGACCGTGGGCGGTAATCTTAGTATGTGATATTTTTCGAAATTATCCCAGTAATCAAGAATGTCCCTCTTTTTTAATAACAAAAAAAAATTGATACATACGTACGAACGACGTACGTACGTACGTACGTAACAGGTAACAATATTGCGGATCTACACATCCTCAATTTTTTTAAATGCTAACCAAATACGGTTATGTAATTTCTATTAAAATCTTGTGAAATGAACTTTCGAGAGGGGTGCTTTGTTTACAAATATGCCTGGTTGGGATGATTCTATCCGAAGATACTGTATTAAAGGTGATGAACGATTATGATATCTACATCTTTAATTATAGATGCAGACATTTAGAAGTCAGAGGCGCTGTAAAACGCCATTTAATGTATCTTACATTTTTGGTGATTTTTGTATTGTACCCGGGTACGTACTTTTAACAGCGTAACTTTTCTAAAAATATCAAGCACTCATTTACAGTATTATAATAAATCTTTTCTATATCATACATACAGAGAATAGTTGTACGGTACCATGGCAAGGTATAATTGGTATCTTTATCTACGCAGTTTATTGGCGTTACTATAATCGGAATTCTTTCAAAATCACTATTATATTCTTGATTTAATTCGGTATAAAACGTTTCTTAATTTATATAATAAATTTGTAATTTTATTTATAATAAATTTAAAATTTTTAAATTAATTAGAATCTATATATATATTAAATAATATGCAATATGTAGATTTAAATTTTTTTTATTGTTTTTTTTTAATTTGTAATCTATTTTAAACAATTTTAGTTTAATTATTAAAAAATTTTTTGGTAATTTTAAAATTAAATAATATTTTAATTTAATTCATATATCTAGGCTATTATAATTATTAATTAACTAAATTTATCAATTTAAATAAGTTTATAAATAATTTTTTTATACAAATTTGCAAAAAATAAATATTGAAAAAAAAAAATAATATTAAAAAAATCTAATTTGCAGTATTAAAAAACTTCAAAATAATATTTAGTTTTCAAAAAACTTGAATAAAAAAAAGCAAAAATAGCAAAGATATAAAAATCTTAAAAAAAATATTAAAATTTTTGATTTTATAATTTATTTTTAAAAAATTGGTCTAAATTTCATTAGCAAAAAATATAGGCTAATATATATCAATCAATATCTATATAGATATATATCAATATAATTCTCTCTGTTAGGTTTTATCAATTGTGATATTAATTGATATATAGCCATTATAACAGAAAATCAATAATAATTAATTATATAAAAACTTGTTTATATTAATATATATTTAATAGTTGTTATACTACTTATTTATAGCAAAAAGTCACACTAACACTAATCTTTAAAAATAGTTAAAATAATAATTGAATCTATTAAAAAAATATTTTTGTATTATAAAATAATTTATTATACAATATAAATATAGTATATTAAATAATGAAAGAAAAAATAAAATAAAAAAAAAATATATAATGTAAAAAAAATACAAAAAAAAAATAAAAAAAATAAAAAAATAATATATGAAAAATATATATTATATAAAAATAATGTTATAGACTGAGTTTAAACAATTTATTTATCTTATCTTAAAACATTATTGAGCTTCTTTGATTAGAAAATTCATGTTTAGATTTAGAATATTGCGACAAGGCTTCTTTTAATAGTTTATTATATATATTTTCATCATTTAATATATTATTAGTTAATTCATAAGAAAGATTACTACTGCTTTTAAAATCACTCTAATCAAATATATTAAATATTAATATTGTTACTTATAAAATAAAATATATAATTACTTATTAAATATTGGTTAATTTTATATCTTATATGTAATTTTTTGTATAAAATGTTTTATGAACAAGAATTAAGTAGAAGATTATAAACTGCAAATATAAATACACAATATTCACTTGTTATAATAAAAACAACTATTATACTAAATACTATTTTTGTTATTATAGTTATCCAAAAACATCATCTTTATTTTGTTTAAAAAGAATATAATAACAAGTATTTATTTTTAGCTTTTCTTCTATCTTATAATATTAATAAAGCTGCATTACTTCTTAGCTAAGATAATTTCTCAACCTCAAATATACTCTAAATTGCAGGCCTAATATTTTGAAAAACAGCATCATAATTATTCTTAATTTTTTTTTAAAATTATATAATAGTAAAATTTTTACTGAAAATAACCAGCGGTGATCATTACCGGTGTATAATTAGCTAATAATGATAAACTAAAAAAATATTTCATTTTATTTACTTTAAGGTTAGAGAAAGGCCTGAAATTTTAGCAAGGTGTTAGATATATGCGAAATTTAGCAAGAAATTTTTTTTGTTAGAATGTCGAAGGTAGTTTCATAGACGAATTTTTGAGATATCAGCATTTTTTAAAAAAAATCTTTATTTTAGTTACACAAATTAATTTGCACATTACACCTGATCCTGCAATTTAATTGGCTAATTATACACTGGTAATGATCACTGCTGGTTATAGTTAGTAAAATTCTAATAGTAATTACAAGTATTTAGAAAATTAAAAATAAAAAATAAATTATAAGCAATATATAAATACAATAAAAAAAGATAATATCTAATAAAATAATATAAATTGTATTAAATTGAAAAAGTTGAAAAATGATTATTAATGATTATTAACAATTATAAGCAATAAATATATAAAAAAAATATTATTGGATTAAATCATTGATTATAAAAACAGTTAATGAATTTATTAATACCTAAATTACTTATAAAATTTAGAAACTTTTCTTCTAGATAACTTTTAAATATTTCTTTAATTTTTTTTTTTTTTTTAATCTTCAAAGGTGAGGCCATGCTTCTATCTTTATTAAAATCTAATTAAACTTCTTTACAAATAATTAAATAAAGAAATTACATTACAGTATTTGAACTTTATATCTATAAGATACTAAGACTAGAGACTCAGAGCTCTTGCTAACTCAAAAGTTATAGGAGTTATCTGCAACCTAAATCTAATATTTTTTTAATTATAGCTTGAGTAGAATATATATAGTATAGAAAGAAATGTTTAGTAATATATATAAAGATTTTTTATAAAAAAACTTTAATATATATTTTATAATAAAATACAAGAAAATACATTTAAATAAGTTTTTTAATTATAAATACTAACCCCAAGAATCTTTGTAAAAAGTTATTCTCTATATTACTATGTTGATGTTTTACTTTAATTTTAATTTTTTTTATATTTTCACTTAACCTCTTTATTATAATATAAAGCTGCTGATTTTGAGCAAAAAGTTACTTATTTACTTTCTGACAGTAAATATAGATATAATTTTTAAAAATATAAAAAAAAAATAAATATTGTATATATTGTTATATTAGCAAATTTTATTAGCATTTTATTGGTTAAATTTATTTATATTACATTTTATTAGTCATATTTTATTAGTCGTATTTTATTAGCAAATTTTTATTATATATTTATTATATTTTCTCTTAAATTTTATTATATTATTTATA